GGACGGACGGACGACGGACAAAATGTGATCAGAAAAGTTCACTTGAGCTTTCGGCTCAGGTGAGCTAAAAACTGAAAAAGGTCTGCTAATTACCGGACGCAATTGGTACCAATGGGAATCCCAATAGATTGTAGGAAGATCTGGCTCCAGGGCCATAAAAGTTAGACGAGCTCACTTTTTGTCTCAGTTTCACTTTTTAGCAAAGGAATTGATAGTGGAAAAGTGAGATGAGATCAAAAGTTTCCCTGTCTAACTTTTACGGCCTCGGAGCCAGCAGGCATGTTCATGAAGCTATCTTAGGACTATGGTGTGTCCTAAGAACGTCTTAGGAAATGTCCTAGTCTTAAGTCAGTTTCTCGAAGCTTTCCTAAATTGAAGAACTTTCCTAAGTTTTTCCTAACTTTAGGACAGCATAATACCTGTCCTAAGATCATCCTAACTTAAAGTTTGTTTTGATGCTTTTGATTTTGGACATTGCAAGTATCAGCGGTAATTTCTTGTTTCTCAGCAGTCCGTGTATGAGCTGATGATTTACACAAATAATTAAACAAGAAGTGTTACCAATAGGCCTCTTTTCATATATGCTATAAATTTCGCATGTGCTGTTCCGGATATTACCTAATACAAATTTTGGATATTATTATAATGAATATTTTCGGTATTGGTTGGAGAAATATAATACAACGCTCCTCGGGCGACGAAGTGTGGGGGGGGGGGGCTTTTATTATCGGTCGATCTGCTCATTGCATATCAAATACAAAGTAATTGAAGACAAATAAGGTTATTTAAATGAGGGTAATGTTGGAATGAAAAAAAGACTATGAAAGAAGTTGAAACCTAGACCCCACCCTCTCTCTCTCTCTCTCCCTCTCCAAAATAGGATTTTCGAGTTTGGACAATATTCTTTCCCTTTTTTAATTGTCTAGTTTTCTCACGTAAGTTAAATTTTTTCTCGCCCCCCCCCCTTTCATGACCGTTGTTATGTGACTGTCAAAGACATTCATCACAAACGTTGTATTATGACCGCCACCCCACCCCTTCTTATGTTTAAAATGTCATAATACATTGTGCGAATATATAAACAAATACCCCCTCTTTCATATGCTAATGATTGGTCTATAGATACAGATACAGTACAACTTATGATCATTCTAACATGACTTTTTTGCGATATACATATTCGTCATTTATCAAAACTTCCATCATAGATTAATACCAATAAACTTGTGAATAAAATAAGGAGGGGCCAGCCATCCACCCCCTATTATGAGACAACGAAGCTATCGACATGTTCTAATTTTTTAATTAACCGGTTGGGAGAACATACAAAATTTTTAAAAAAATTGTCATTCAAATATTTAAACTGTTGAGAGTTTTGTAATTCAAGAATAAAATGTTGGCTTTAAACTAGTGTTTTCCCTGATTGAATACTTTTTTAGTGTCCTACAAAATTCATTTTACTTTCAATCAGCTTATTTATCAAAAAAATTAAGTAAACTTTTATAAAACTTCATAACATAATCATCATCAAGGTAGATCACTCAGAGGTTATTATTTTTTAAACTATCAATCTTAATTACAATTTGTTTGTTACAATACGATTTACAAGCGGTATTAAATATTTTATAATATCAACAAAAAAAATGCAAACATTAAAATATACTGAGGTCATATGGAAATATAAATGGATTTCCTTTTCTAATGTTACATGTATTAATTTCTTTCCCGTAAAATGTCTCCAAAAATATACATTTATCGATAAATGTTTAAGAAAAAATTGTTCATTGTAAGTTAGGATGTCCTAACTTAAGATGTTCCTAAGTCACCGTCGAGATACATCTTATGATATGTCCTAAGTTGATCTTAGGATGTTCCTAAGTTTCTTCCTAAGTCATATCTTAGGAATAGTCTTAGGACAAATCTTAGGAAAGTTTCATGAACATGCCTGCTGGTCTCCAAAACCCAACATAGACATTGTCAATCAGAAACTCAAACAAAGACAAACAAGAACATGTTATCTGCTTTGTCAGCAGGGACCAGTACATACTGACCGTGTAATCAATCTAATTCTTTTTTCACTTCTAAATTACTGAACATAGAAGGGTATATGGTTTTCATTTTGCCCCTCAGTTGATTAACGCGAAATTTTAACACCTGATACATTTTATCCATTCTGAAAACGTGTCAATTCTTCTTCACCTGGCGTAATCTTCCACATCTTCCATATACTGATTACGTAAAAACAAATATTAGTATGTTAACGGCCCCTGTGTTTTGATGCTATACTAGTACTCTCTAATATCACAGGTTTTTATACAATAAATGAAACACCATAGTGGCAATTAAAAAGTGGCATTCTGATGTCACATAAATAGATGTATACAGATATTAAATCACAGATACATCCAGGTTTCAAATCACTTTTTTGTTTGTGATGTTCTGTCGATAATTTTTCACTCATTTTTGGACACCACCCATTGCAGGCGCAAAGTTTGAAAAATAGATCTGAGCATCCCATCAAAGGAACTAAGAAGACAAAATTTATTTAAAAACTGTTTAAAACAAGACTCTTGTAAAACAAAACATATGTATTGTACTTTTTTTTCTTAAATTTAAATTGTATTTTTGCAATTAAACTCGATTTTTTTGTATTTCAGAATATGTTAGGGAATTTACCCATATTTTTACCAAATAAAATCACTGTAATTTTGTGTTATAATTTAACCAGGTTTATCTATGTCGTGTACAATTAATTAATTGTACTGTTTTTCTATACACTCTTGTATAACATCGTAATTCTTAACTTCCTACATGTAATCCTGGTGATTATTGTTTGTGCATATTTAACATTTGATGATGTGTTCAACATTGAAATAGGCCCATATGGACATATCTAAATCAAAATTGTCAATTTCATAGAAAAAAGTTTATTTCTGCTGATATTATGTAAATTGATCTCTTTTTTATGAATATCGGGATTGATGAAAAAACCAAAATAACTTTTAAAATGCTTCCGTTTCATTTTTAAAAAAATTCTATAAAAATTGATTGTTTTTAGATATACACCGCACTAATTTGAGAAAATGATGATATCAAGTTCTAAACATACTAGGTGTCAAAAAATATTGTTTTATAATAAATTAATTCCGTGTTTACTTTTCAGTCTTCACTAGAGAGACGTTTACGACAGGCCTCTTCCTGTTTTTCTGTTTTTCTTTTTAACATTGTTAGTTAGAGAGTTTTCACACCTTAGATCTTCAAATTTTTCACAATTCCGATTGTAATTGTAGTCAGACCTTAATGGAAATGCCTTGTGATAAAAATGAGAAATGTGAAAAGACTATCTTAAACAGCGTAAAAAGAAGGATTTCTAAATTTCAAAATGAAATAATATGTACCATTTCAACTCTAAGGAAATAAAAAAGTTTTTTTTTAATCTTAAATACCTTTAAATATTCTATAATTTAATTTTAAAAAATATTCAAAATTAAATTTTATTGAAAAAAAATCGCAGGTTAATAATCATGTCTTTAAGGTTTGATAATATTTTTATTGTGAACAATTTTAACTTACCTCAATTTCTACAAAATTTTGGGTTCTTTTTAAGGCTAAATTTTGCTTTATTGTAATTGATTTAAATCGACTTTTTGGGCTTAGATTAATTGCATCTTCTAATGTTTTTCGCTAACTTTACGTACATGTATTATAAGGTTTTTTTATAATGTAAAAGATTATTAATAATAAGGTGTTTTTGTCTTACTCAAAAATGGAAGTTCGAAACCTATGTTTAAATATTTAACAAACATGGTCTTTCTAGAAGACTTGATTATATATATGTTTGATTAATTGAGGAAAAACTCTGCTACTTTTGGTGTTCATTCCTCCATTTATCTTTAATTGGAAACACCTTTAAATATTATTAAAGTCTGACACATTCGTTTCATATTTAGATATTTCACATGCAAAGGACATTAATGGTAATCTAACAACCAAACTTTATGATAACCATGATGAATTTAACTATTCAATCGTCAACTTCCCTTACTTATGTAGCATTATACCTACATCACCTGCATAAGGGGTTTAAATCTCTCAATTGATTCCATACGCAAGAGCAATTTCTACGTACGAACAATTTCTAAAACGATAAAAGAATATCAGCAATCTCGTTTAAAGACATCATTTCGTAAGTTCTATGGTCGATACAATGATCTTGTCAGCAAATACAATTTTTCATTAAGTCATATGTTGACTGACGGTTTTTTTTATATACTTTTTCCTCACAATTTTTTATTACCAAATTTTTTATTTCAATAAAAATTTGTGGAAAGAAACACAATTATACTATTTGAAAGGTCATAGTTTACATACGGTTTGTCTTGGATTTTTCCGTTACTTCCTAATCATGACAAGGAGCACACGACTGGAGTGACCGGTTGGCAAGAATGCTCACTCCTCAATGCACCTGATCACACCTCTGATGATTTGGAAGCCCATGTTTGCTCTGCTTCAATTTTGTATGGTTTAATGGACTTTTGATCTAAAATATTGTTAGTTTTCTTCATATGTTTCATTTCAATACTGTAACATTTGAAAAGTCAGGGTTGGTCATTTTTTTTTATCAAAGCATGCATGCATTATAACATCTTTCTCTAGAGGCAAATTTGAGAGGAGAAAAAGAGTCTGATAATGATTTAAACAGAATCAATTATAAAAATCCTAAGTAGGATGTTTTCACAAAATTTCCTCTCAATGTCAACTAGTTTATAGTTTTTGGCACTAAGATGTTAACTTTAGATTTCGTTGCTTCAGAGTACTTTATCTTGGATAGTCTAGTGCAACACTACTAGGACTATAGTCTATAACTGTATAGTAATTTTGCTCTAGACTAGCCAAAATGCATCAGAGTGTATAAGTTCTAGTGTTTTTTTTATGTAGTCCACAAATTCAAGAATAGACAGGGATCGAATGTGAATTGTAAAAGCAAAACAACTCATGTATTTTTGTAGTCAATTTTTACTAAAGTTCATTTTGCTGTACGTATTAACTACATGTCTGAAGTTTTTAATTTTATGACAGGTTTCTTTTATCTTGAGTCTTAAGTTTTACAGCATTGCAAAGTTTACATCACTGAGGTTTCTAGTTTCAGGAACTTTGGCATTGGGTATTCAAGAATTTAATTTATCCACATTTACAGCGGAAGATTAGAAAGGATGTTAAACGCAGTCTGGATTTTTTTAGTGATCATCAAGAATCATCCTCTAGGTTAGATGTGTAAGTCTCATGTGATATATTTGTCTGTACGAATTTTTATGGCTTGTTGACAAACTGTAAACTGTAGGTGCATTGTTCTCCTTTATTCTTATAAACATGTCAGTATCAACCGTCAGGGTCTTCAGCTGTGAAGAAAAGGGTGTGTACCTTTTAAGAACAAATAGCTACTTTACAGAAGATAATACACCACAAAAATAATAACAACAACATTGAAGTTATTTCATTTTCTTTATGTTTTTTTTTTTTTTTTTTTTTTTGAATACATGTGATTACAATATCTCCTAATAATCCTGTTATAAGATTCTCTTATTTTTTGTTTTTTGAAAATATCATCAAAAACTTTGTCTCAGTGTCTTTTGTATGTGTGGTTCTAATAATTGCTTTTTAAAAGAAATATGACAATTGAACTCATTAAGAATTGCATTTTACAACATTTGACACAACAAACGGAAAACGAAATAAATAAGAAATGTAACTTTTGTTTATCTATCAATATGGAAATTCCTTTTCTGTTTCTTGTAATAAAAAGGTAAGATATCCTTAAAATTGTAGTTTTTCTTGATTGATTAGTATAGAAAAAAATATATAAATAACAATGTACACAAATATCTTTATACATAAAATGCTCAATCCTTCGTGTGGCACCTAATCCAACCTGATCTTTTAGAGGCCTGTGATTTGTTCTTTCTGATTTGTATTGTTTGAATGTACTTTTGAGCTTGTACACTCTGTTTGTTGTCTCCATATATTTCTCGGATATCCCATATAGTTAAGCAAACAAAAAATCAAAAGAAAATCTTAAGGTAGGATTCTTCTCATATTTCTTGTATTTAAAAATTAATGAAATTTTCACAGAATCAAGAAGACAATATCAGTAAGTGATAGTATCAGTGAAATTAAATTTGACCGTTTTATATTAGAGGCAAGGTCAGGTTAAGGTCATTATCTTTTTCCTTGACATTATGAATAAAAAAAATACTGTTGCCAATCATGTGATGTCTACTTCTTTTTCAAACGTTTAGAGATGTTCTTTTTGCATAAAAACATATTACTATATCGGGTCTATAGCATGATGTTACCAAATTTACATAAATAATTTAACTAACCTGGATTTTGGTTAATACGAATTTTCTCTGTTTTTCTTAATTTTTTAGGATATATCAGTTATTTTGATATGCTTCCTATATTTAACTTATTCTTATTTTCACATATAATAAAGTAGTCTTATAAATGTACAAAATGATATAAAAACAAAAAGTTTTGATCGTTTAACAAGAGAGAAAATATACTTTTGGCTCAAATCTGTACTTTGATTGGAAGCGTTTAAAAGCTACATAGTTTTAGTTTAATTGCAAAAACATATTTATTTGATATATTTTAAAACTTTAGTCCCTTATTATTAATTTAACCTACATTTGAAAATTTTTTTCAAGTCTTTGATTGTGTTAAAATTATAACTTAATTCATTGTTCTATTAAAATTTTGAGAGGAAGAAAAGAGGATGTTTTCGTACGCCACTGTTCCTTCAAAAATATAGTCCCCTGCTAGTTTTCAAAGGGAGTTTACCATTTCTATTTGAAGTTGTACAATTGTGAGGAGAAAAGAAAAAAAAAGTCTTTTAAATCCCTTACACCTAAATATACAAGACATATAAGCAAATATACTTTGAATGTTTCATCTAGTCAGAAACCAGAGAAGAATCCTACCTTAAGTTATGAAACAAACAAAGCATAATAACAGTAGTACAGTTAGATGAAATGAAGTACAATTCTTACATGTATGATCAATTCAATAATTCAATTGATTTAAATGGAAAATTGAAAAAATTAGAATAGTGGAAAATATAGTTTCATATTACATTCTGAATTATATATACATTTTTTTCATTTTTTTACTGTTTACTAGTATATTCTTTTTTCAATTTATTTATATTTAGCTGAATTCATAATGCTTAAAAATCTTCTTTTGGAATTTTTAAGTTTAAAATTGTTTGTTAAAACTCATAACTTAAAAAAGACATTTTTTCTCTCTCTCTCTTTTTTACATCTTGAGTAAATTTTTCATACCTGCTTTCAAGTTCCATGTTCGTATAATACTAGTATTCAAATGCAAACTCAAATTGAAAATTTATTTTGATCATCAAAATTATTTTAAAAAGTTATATTTATGTGAAAATTTGTTGTTTTTTTTTTTGTTTTTTTTTTCTTTTACATTTTATGGTTTTGAGGCTAGGAAATTTAAAATAAATTTTCAATATGAGAAATCTAAATAAGAAAATGATATGCTCTTCAGGGTATACTCATATTTTTCCATGAGAAAAAAATGTGGTGGGTTATTTTCTTATTATGGTTATGCTATGCATGATTCTAATACCTGATGGAGATTTATAATTCAATATGTAGGCGAAATATGACAGAAATTAGATAACATTATCATAACACACATCGTAAAATATTAAATAACTGAATACTACAGTTACTGAGGTGCTTTTTGATCTTATGAATCTGTCATATTCAGTGACGTGAAATTTCTTAGCTGCAATTTTGCGTATGAAAGGAATACTGGAGTAAGTTTTGATATGAAAATTTAATCAAACTAGGGAAATGACTTTAAACAGCGTATCTTCTCTTCAGATCAGACGATTTTTTATCCTTTGCAATCCAAACTAGTTTTTAATCAAGAATTTTATGATAATGTACAATTTAAAATGATTTTAATCTAAGTTAGTACAATCTAAGAAAGAATTTTTCTTTAACTTTTCCAACACATTTATTCAAATATTAGTCAGGATTTTACATTACCCCATTTTTTTTTTTATTTTGGCTGAAGAAGCTTATCTTCTGATAGTTATAAATGAGAATGTAGCTTTAAAAAGTTAACAAATAATAAAAGGGTATTTTTCTTGCTTAACTTATTATTTGCTTGTCTAATATAATATATACATTGTTGGAAAAAACAAGAGTATTTTCTGACAATATATTTCATTCACAAAAAATATAACAAATATAAAAGTTGTTGAAGGAAAATACTGTATTTTACAAACCTAATTACATCTTCGCAAGCCATGGGTTTACGATCCGCTCCACTCCTCTATAGGAGGCGGTTTCGGTTTAGAGACCCTTGGCTAGCCAGGATGACCAGAATCATAATATAGTGTATAAAATTTTCATTGGGAAGTAGCTTAAGATATATTTTATAATTCACCCTCTGACACCTTCAAAGGACAATCTACGCTGATGGGGATCTGTTTCATGTGGATAAATAGGGGGGGGGGGTAAAGAAATAAATGAAGATGACATTTACGTGTCAAAAAGATAAGATGCAAATAATTCTTTGAAAATCTTTTTTTTTTTTTGGTTGTACATACTAATTTAATGCTTAAATACATGTTTGTTTTAAAAAAAATATTCTTATAATTATCTATTTAGTTTTAAAATTTTTATGTACGGCTTTTATGTTTTAATGTGTTTGGTTTTATTTTCATTAAAGTTTGTTTAAAATATGTTTTTAAATATTTGATTAAGTGATGACTGCATTAGACATAAGCTACAAAAAAGGTAATCCTATCTGTAAATAAGGTGCTAATATTAATATATATATTATCATTTTTTAAATATTTGCATTAGGTCTAGTTTTCATTTTATGACTTTACATTAATCTCATTGTGAATTATGAAAAATATATTTATTTGTAGCATTTTTAAAATCTTTTTTACTTGCATCGTTCCAAAAAAAATTATACTGTAATGTGGTGCAATTTACATTGAGCTAAAGAAAATGTATATATATCAACATGTGCTGGGTGAGAGTATATATAAAATTCACGAATTGAATACTCTTGTGATGTAAATTCTATAAATATATACTAGTACTTGCTACACCCAGTATTCACAAATAATCTTAAGCTTATTACAGGTTTAGAAGGAAATTAGTAGTGACATATCTATTCGTGTTAAAAGGATATTCACCATAGGCAATTAGTGTTCATTCTCATTTTCACTTTTGAAGGGTTATTTATTTTTGCTTTAAAAACCACTCTAACAATGTGAAAGAAAAAATGATTTAAAATAAGAAATGCTTAGAAGTTCTTAATTTTTCGATGGACATGTGTTGCAATTTTATTGGGTGATTTGATACTTTATTTAAACCATTCAACATTCCCTTTGTCTGAGAGAAAAATATTGTATAAATAAAAAATAGACGACATTACAATTATGTCTTTTCGAAAGGGTACCTAAAAGTCCGGACTTTGTCGTGTTCGGGCTTAAATGTCGCAGTGTTAATAACTTGTCTAGCACAGAAAAGATCTTATGTGTAGAAAACATAGACATCGACTTTTTTCAGCATACCTTAATTTGTCAGTACATATAGGGAAAAACTGATTTTTTCCACTTATTTGAGACAAATAGATTCAGAGAGATGGTTCGACATTTAGAAAATAATAAATGATTGGAAAATAATTGATTTTACAAAACAAAGAAGATTAATTCTTATTTTAAGCATGATTCTTGATACTTCGTTCGATCGAGAAAATGAGATTGACCAAGAAGCCCTGATTGTTTACTAGTATCACATCACTTCAAAACCTGTTTAACCAGATTTTGGCTCTTAACATTATTCAAGTACTGCAGACATGACGTCATTGTGGACTTATGTCAAGTATGTGTATACGTACATATAGACTCAACGTTTTGGCACAGTGCATTGTCTAGTGTAGAAAATGGCCTGATTGTCATACTGTCAAGATAGGCAAATGTTAAAACTATTGATAAATATTTTAGGGTACGGCCGGGTTATGACAGTCTCTCCCTCTCCATGCTTTTTATCTGTAAAATCAAACGCGATCACTAGGAAGGATTTTCGGAAAATATTTAACCTTTGCTGATATACTGCTTAGAGAGACCATCCAGTATTTAACCCCGAGAGAGAAGAACGATAAGGAGATGGGTTCAATCATTTGTCTTTAAACAATTTTTCACAAGATAGTTCATTCGCATTGCAAACAATTCGTTTCAAATATTTAAGGCTCACAAAGGGATGGAGTTAAAATTGGAGACTTTAAAATCGTATCCTCACTAAAACTACCTCTGCAACATGTTAATACACACGTACTTTTTAAATACTAACTCAGCACAGACAGATAATTATGGAGTGTTTACAAAATCTAATCAAACTTTTTATATAATCTTTTAGTCGCTCTGCCCTGTTTGCTACTAAAATTAGAAAATTCTAAATCTGCCTGGCTTATGAATTCAGCACATCTGTGGGGTCAATGCTCGTCTGAGACCTTACCGCTCTGTAAATTATATCATTGGCATCGTCTAAGAAACCAAGTCATTCAATTTACAAATAGCTGAGGGGTGCTTTTTGGAAAATGTTAATTAGTGTCTGTGTTTAGACCAATGAAAAAATTGCAAGCCAGACAGTTATGCGCAGACGTCTCGATTTTTGACATTGGAGTATGACGTGCTTGGCTTGGTTTAAAGCTTAGAATTTCATGGGGAGATAACTCTGGTAATCTTGAACATCAATAATCCGAACCTTGGTAAGAATTTTCCTAATGATATGAATTCAATAACAACAGTTTAGATAATGCTGAAAAACTACTTTTTGAGCAAAAATATTATTGAGAGAGAGAGAGAGAGATTTTCGGTTCCTTGGATATTCATAATTTGAAATGTCATTTTAATGAACTTATTGGGCAAATGTTTTTTGAACTGATTCATTTTTTATAGAGATCTCTGCATGCACAAGTATGTTTATATATAAAATTACACAATTTAGATTGATTTGATTTTTTTTCCTTTATGGAGTTTACGAAATCTTTCCAATCTTTTTTGTGTCCTTATTTCCAATGAAATCATCAACAGCAAATTAACGAAATTACTTACTAAATGTTAACTTTAAAATACTTTTTCTTTTAAGTTCATTATATACATGTACTAACATTTATATATAGATAACACTCTACAAGGAAAACTCGGTTATACTTTCCTGTATGTGTGTTTTAATGCATTTCATTCAGTTCCAATGATGTCTTAATTCAATGACTTGTAACGCCAGAGGAGAGGTTGTTAAAAAACCCACAAAACCGCAAATATTTCGCAAAATTAATAGAAAATACAAAAAACCTTCAGAAACGCGCTTGAATTGTTGTATTTAAATTTTTGAAGGCAACAAGTATGCGTGTGGTCAAATTTCTTTAAGTCACAGATATTATGGAAATAAAAATGTGTAGATAGAAGAACATTCATTAATTTAATGAAATTTAAAAAAAATTATAAAATCGAATACTTATATTAGTTTGTACAGGTAGGTTTTACAGCCTATATGTATCGACGAATAATGATAAGCTTTAAAATGATAAACATGCTGTTAGAGAAACTTACATGAATAAACTTCAAATCATATATAACAAATATTAAATACAAAGTGAAATCATGTTTTTAACTTTTTTTGTATATTGGTCCTATTGAAACTATATATCCGATGCAGATACTATGTAACCATAGAGTCTCGTAAACGTATGCGAGATAGGTAGGATATTAAAAGATTTTTTTTCTTTCAAGAATGAGACATTCCAGCCAAATATTATGTGTATATCCTTTTTTTTTTTTTAGTTTAAAACTCATTCTGACATGATTAACTTGTCTACTATTTCGTAGAAAGGTTAGTGTATTATATTTTAATTAATTTCAAGACCATTTTTAACAATTGGTTACCTTCTTTCGACTGGCTAAAAAGTCAAAACTCAAAACTTTTTGACCTCCAGGAAGCAATTTTCTTAATACAATCTGGAAAATAGGTTTTGAAAATTCGATTTGAAACTGAAATTTTCTGGAAAAAAATTATTACCTACCAACAGACCCATAGTTTATTACATTCTTAGTCAGGAGAGGACAAACAAGCAATATTTCAAAGTTGGTCTGATTATTTTTTTTTCTTATATTGTACGTCAATTAATTGTATGAACAGTTCAAATCAGTTAGAAATATTATTTAAGTGTTCAAAAAGAAAATCATTTTTTGTGAGTAACTTTTTATTCCATCATATCGATAAATTATGAATGGTTCTGACCTTCATCTGGCCTTGAGATGTCAATAATCCTGCTATCTCGCTATGCAGAGTAAAACAGCAAAATCACGCCATACAGAAAGGCGTTCCTTAGCCAGAAACATGCTCTATGGCATTAACATATATACATTTAACCAAATTAATATGACCATGACCTACATATGAAATGTATATAATATTACATATAGAAGCTACCAAATATTGCTATGACGATATGTTTCTACACGGAATGAAAGTGGCTTTCACAGATTAATCAGTAAGATTTAGACTGTAATTACAAAGCAATCAGAAACCAGAAAAGATTAAAAAAAATCATTTAAACAAATGTTTGGACTATTTAATTTTTATAAAACTGTTTTCTTTCATGGAAAATCAATGTACGGCTTCACAGTACAGACTAATCGTGACATTTTATCGAAATCTAAGAATTAATATTAAACATTTTTCTACTTTGTATGAGGGCAAAAGTAACCTTTTCAGTCCTAATGTATAAATTGTTTTTTGACAATTATCTATTCTTTGATTTCAACAATATTTTGAATATTTTGAATATACATGTACTTGGTTAACAAAATTTATTGCATTTTAAGGACCACAAGAACCTATACATGTAAAATAGAGGATGTAAATATCATTAATTTAGTTTTCATATTCAGTATCTATCAAAAACCAAAAAACTCAGTTTTACTATTATGAACAAACAAAGTCTACACGATTCACTTGTCTTTGTTGTAGAAGTTGAATTTACTTTAAAACGGTTTAAAAATCTTGACAAAGTAGATTATACAATAGAAAATATAAGTTCAAAATTTACAAAAACCACCTTGCTACAAAATACTTAAAATCCAATTGTTCGATATTGCTAATAAAATAAACGTATCCTAAAAAATAAATAAAATAATTTACGATCACCAAAAGAGATGTTTTCAAAGATTATATACTGTTTCAACCATTTTAAAAGAATTCTAAGAGATTCATCAATCATTTTTCTTCTTAGCGGTGAAATAGCCTATAGGAAAAGCAATGGTATAGCGATTTTCTGAATTAAATGAATCTAGAGGATACTAGATGTTAATGGGTTGTGTTTGGTTTTTTCCTCGTCTTTATACAAAAGTCAATGAATACTAGAATGTCGTTTTATCCCCCTCCCTTCCTGATCTTTGTGGAGAGCTATATAGAGGATATTTGTGAAGATATACTATCTTACACGTTTAAAGCAGTATCTTTCTATTTCTCACCTCATTTTTCATGACCGTTACTTAAAATGTCCATTGGTACAGTTATCCGTAATTAGCTTTGTTACTATCCATGAGACCATTTTCTTGTTAAATTGTTGGTTTTATTGTCACAGAATCAGTTTTTTTGTCGTTCATTTACTTGGTACTTCTTTTACAGTCAAAGGTATCAATTTATATTTTTAAAAAAGTCTGTCTGGTACAATGGAATGGACATTTTTTTATCAAGGATAAGTAAGATCAGTAACCGTAGATGGAAATAAATGAAGGGTATTATTTTTTCCATAGATATGTAACCTTTGATAACAGAAATGGATTCTGTTGCCCATGGATAAGTAATCAATTACAACAATGACACATCTGTTTCATAATTCGATGTTTTACTAGAAAAAACACAAATGGTAACCTAACAGCAAAATTTTATGATAAATCTTTTCTATCGTCAACTTTCCTTCCAGGTACCTACAAAGTATAAATTAGCAAAATATACCCTTATATTTACTTCCACTGAATATTTTCTCTTAAGTAAACCATTGCCATTTAACACCATACTCAGTATCACCTACATATATTTCTTGATCAGTGGCCGTTCCATCAATGAAACATACTATGACGTACATACATTAATCTTTTTCATCCCGCTTTGACTGATTATTAATACAGATATTAATATTAACAATAAAATGTCTTTCTTTGGCTGTTACTGTTAGTACGAGAATAAACATCGCAGCTACTGCAGAAAAAAAAATTACATTACCCACGGGTTGTATTTTTTCTGCAATAGCTGATACATTAGTTCCCGTACTTACAATCAAAGAAAGTATTTTATAGTTTAAATTACCTGGATATGGGATCCATACCTCCCAGTTGATTCAATACGCATGGGCATGCTATATGTACGAACAGTTCCGAAAACCATGCAAGTTATTGACAAACAAGATGATAAAACAAGAATACCAGAAGAATCGTTTAAATAATTAAGTCACAATTACGCAAGTTCCATATTCGATACGGTTATATTGTCAGAAAATACAAGATATCATCAATTGCTGACTTATAATTTTCGTACTAATTGTTAGGCCATCATTTATACACAGAATTGCCTACGGATTTTTCCGTTTTCTCAATTATGACAGAGTGCACAGAGCGGGTGTGATTGGTCATTAGGAGGTGCTTACTCTTCTCCATGATACCCGATTCCGGCTCACCTCTGGTGTTTTTTGAGTCCTGTGTTTGAATTGCTCACATTTCAATGGACCTAAGAGCTTGATTGCAAATTCGTTTTTGCATATTACATTTTTAAAGCATTGATATCATAATACAAATTTCAATATCTTTTAAAAACATTACCCTTATTAAACGTCCATATTCTGTTTTCGCTAATTTTTTTTGTAAATCCGTCAAATTATATAGCGTTGATGAGTTGCCTCATCATCGGTAACCCACGGGTGATTCACATCGATTCTCTCTATCATCATTTGAGGAAGCTTGCGGACTCTAGTTTGCGACGATGGAGTTGCCTAAGACAAGAATACATGGATTAGATTTTGTTAACTGCTAACATCTTCAGATTCTTTATTTTAGACTTAGATGTCACTCCATGGGTCAGTTACTTATTGTACATGCATGTAAGCATAAAGAATTATTGTGCATGAAAACGTTAATATTTGCTAGATCATCACCCTTATACGTATAGATATGGTTATCATGTTCAAACGTCGTTATTGTATTCTACATGTATTATTTTAAAATTTAAAAAAAATTATTTAAAATACGTAAAAAGAAAATAGGGACAAGTTTGAGACTGTTCTAATTACGAATTCACAGACTTATATTATCAGAATCACAGGTAAAAATCAAGGGAGTAATGAGAAAATGTTATAAAAAGAATATATAGGCCCCTATAGCAGATAACTTGATGTTACAAAACATTTAGACAATTATTTTACACCAACGAGGAATCCTACTGAAGCCCATTTAGGACCTATCAAGAAATATTTCTGAATTCGTTCTAACGATTTTTAGAATTCGTTATAACGAATTTAATTTGTTATAACAGATTTATTGAATTCGTTATAATAATTTAATTTGTTATAACAGATTCATTGAATTCGTTTTAACGAATTTAATTTGTTATAACAGATTCATTGAATTCGTTATAACGAATTAAATTTGTTATGTATTGAATTCGTTATAAAAAAGTTACAGATTTATTGAATTCGTTATAACGCAGTTTGTTGAAATAAAATTCAATTGGTTATAATACAACAAATCTTTAATAACATATTAAAATCGTTATAACGAAAAAATATTTTTTGATAGAGAGACGGTCCAATACAACATGACGGATTAAAAAAGAATATGACCGACTGGAGAAAAGAATCCCAATATTACAGAACATGTATTACGTTTAAAAAGTTACTACTAGCAGTATTTGAAATAAAATTCCTCAATGTTCCTCAAAATCCAAATGCTACCCAAAAGTCATTGAATCACGGTTTTATCTAATTTGGATGAACAATTTTGAAAAAAAGATAATACATAAAAAACAATATGAAAATAATATGATAATTTCTTGTACAAGTAAATGCTAATTAAAGAATTCAAGTTAGACTACATATCTAGTCCAAATTAAGTTACATGTAGTTTTATTTTAACTATTTTAACTACGCTTCAAATTTTCAGTTCTACCAAGGTGATATGATAATACCTTTACAGATTAACCCCTATCTAAAATTTAACATACAACCTTCCAAGAAAGGAAGAAAATCTTAAGAAACTATACGAAGGGAATTAATTAAATCTATAACATATTCTTTTTCTATATCCGTGTGTCTTCGCTCCATTTTTTCCCAAGTAAATAATTATCTGAATTTATTTGTTTAACAAAAACATGTTGCAAGAATCAATTCGATCTTTAGAACATACTTGTATGACAAAAATTTCGTATTTTCCCGAAAAGTAAATAAGTCCGGATATTAAAACAATACAAATATGTCAAGAGGGCATAAAATACGGACCCCTTGAAATTCGAGAGGTGGGATCAGGTGCCAAGGCGGAGTAATTATCCCCTGTTGACCGGTCATTCCCGCCGAGAGCCGTGTATTGATCGGGTATATGGAACTTTCCGTAGTCAAATTTCGTATAAAAACAAAAGCCTAACAATTATCATGAAACAAGTAAGCCAAAGTACGATCCAATTATAGGTTATGTTTGCTAACAAGGTCATTATAACGGTCATAGAAAAAGCGAAATATCGACGTTAAACGAGGTTGTTGAAATCCATGTAACCTCAACTTTTAAGTGAGTAGCATACCTCGCTTTGAACACTGATCGCACTCAGGGCATGCTCTTGAGTGACGAAAATGTTGGATAACATAATCACCGTAAGGAGGTGATAATGGAATATATCTGCACAAATAAGAAAAGTTGACGATGGACAGTCTAGTTGTTAGTTTGCTTTTATCGTCTATAGTCAGTAAAACTCTGTGGTGTCTTTTATTTCAAGTTTGAAATTTTGGTCTATTCGCCCGACACTCTATCCTCCTCCTCAAAGTACTTTAACATCTCAAACAGTAGCCAAATCTTGTTTTAAATATGATTAATGGTGCCTTGAACATGTGCATAAAGTTTTGAAGTTTTCAATTTCATGTAGGGGTTAAATGGGATTCTTACAAAAACCTGCAACCTTCTTACATTTTTGGCAGTGACACATTCATTTTTTCCTGAATTTGATTGGGTGTGTATATGTACTGCAGATGTGTTTTAAGATTTCAGAATTTAGATTTTCACTCTGGGGGCAATTCTTTTCTACAAAAGTCGGGTTTCGTGAACTCCGCTTTCATTTTTTTTTTTCATTTTTATTAAGTAACTATTATTTTCACCATGGAGTCAAATGGTGGCCAAAAACGTCATATTTTTCAACAAAAATGCCTCTAATCCCTGAACTCCCCTGTATTTTTAGTTGCTGAATTATCTGTTGAAGTGTGTTTGATGGTGCTTTGTACATATGACTATCCAATACGATTGTGAATTTATCATGTTCATTCTGGGCTTAAAAACGTCGTCCTTCATATCATATGAAGCCTAGATCCCAAAACTCATTACATTTAATGAAGTAACTCTTCATCCTTTTTTCAAGATGTTTATGGGTAGTCTGTAGATATGTAATAAGGTTTTTGAATTTTATTTTTCACATTATTGGCCAAGTAGGAAGTTTCATTTTACAAAACCTTGGGTCCAAGAACTCATCCATTTTTTTGCAGCAGCCAATTCATCTTTTGCAAGATGTTTGGAGATGTTCTACATATGTGCAATATGTGCACACTAAAGGACATGGGGTGGAAAAAAGGTCGTTTCCAAATTTCAATTTCCTCTTCAGTTTTTAAACAGAAAACTTTTCATTTCTTCTTTACTTCGAAACAATATTTAACTTCGGAGATGTTTTAAATTAATTATTTGAAATACATGTACCCATGGTAATTAATAAACTGACCTGTGCATTTTATGCTCAATTTAAAATTTGTATACATACTATTATTTTTTTTTATAACATACTTATTAATAATTACAGGATTTTTGCATATGCGATATGCCTGACGTCACAATAGCCGTATCAGCCCTGCAGGGCTGATATAGGTTATCAGTCCTGATACGGATCAATATCACACCCCTAGTAAATTAAACCACAAAAAAATACTTGTGATCATACACAATTTTTGGTGGCTTCATATTCTCTTAATTTTAACTTCTTGAAAATAAGGATAATCTAATTTACAAATTATATAGATTATTTTCAAATTACGGATCAGTGCATTGAAATAGAAGTAGAAACAAACCCAAACCGTATGAGACAATAGACCATGTACATGTATATAGAAGAAGTCAATGCATGATTATTTACTTATTTTCTTCTCAACTTAATGTATGCTGTATTTTATTACTAAATATGTAATAAACATAATAATACATACCCTTTTCCACATCACATCCTGTATCAGCCCCAGACACCAATATCAGCCCTCGGGCCTTTGGCCATTGGTGTCTCGTGCTGATACAGGATGTGATGTGGAAAAGGGTATGTATTATTCTCTATATATTGAATATAGATATATATATCTTTTGTTGCTGATTTATTACTGAGGTACAAACCAACAAACTAAAGGGATAGTCAGTTAGAAGCAAACGCTTACCTACAAGTATCACTGTCTTACATGTATGACAACGTTTAGGGGTTTTTTTGTTTTGTTTGTTTAGTTTTTTTTTTCTTTTTTTTAGCAAATTCAAATTTGTTCGAATAACTGTAAGCCTATTTTCAAATAAGCAATAGTTCACATCTCAGTTGGTAAAAAGCTCGCATTTTGCGGGGTTGATACAATGCTTAGTATTTTTGGCAATGTATTGAGGTCATTAAGAATATCAAACAAAATATCTTTCCTTTATGTTTTACGTTAATTTTTAGTCAAGAAGTTCAAATTACACATTATTAAGAAATATAACAACATAGAAAACTACGTACTCTTTGTCCTTTGGGTAAAAATGCTTTTGAGTGTCAAAAATATCCCATATGTATTATTCATATACTTCAGGGCTTTTTCTTTAATTATAGAAAGTTGATTTATACACCCAAAGCATTCACGATTTGAAAATTTTCTATCAATAAAGGTCAGGGACATGGAACTCTATATATACATGTAGTAACCTCTCTCTCTCTCTCTCTCTCTCTTGAACACAAATTTATTAAGTATTACCTCATTTTGGCATCCCTGATTTATACATGATGTTTCTATTTCACCAGGAATACACAAATGCAAAACTGAAAATGGGTCACAATTTTGACAAATGAGCATCACTGGTTATTTATCTGTTCCTTTCATCTGTGAGCACCTGAAACAGTAAAATAGTGATATTACTGAAAAGAACAAGACATGGTTACCCATTTATCGACATTGTTCTTTGTCACATACCGGTATTAATCTGCATCGCATCTTTTTATTAAACCTTCACAAACCCCTTGATTCTTATTTTATTTATCGTTATAAAATTTTCATAGATGGTTGAATTTTAGATACCTTTTTCACACATTTTTCAACAAAAAGATGCGATATTACTCATGTTGTTCGGGCATGTCAAAACTTATAAAAAAAAAACAACAACAAATAAATCAAACACAGTTTTACACACTTCTGTCAAGAGATATCTTTAAAAGTTGCGTTCGAGAATTAGACGGTCAAGTACAAAAATTGGTCAAAAAGTAAGAACCGTGCTCATGCGTGGATCTAGGATTTTCTTATTTTGTTTTATGTCTTAACCTTTTTCTATCCGTCAGTCACCTCCTCTTGAGTTGTCTCCGTTCTGAGCGTCAATTGAACAAATTGTAAAGCGCTTAATCTTATGTTTTAGTGAAATTTCCCATGCTTCTTGATATGTCAAAAATGTGGAAAATGGATGAAAGATATGCGAACTTAAATCAAAGAATCTCTCCCAAGTTTTTTGTTCTGTTCAGTCGACCTAAAAAGAATATGTCCCTACACTGTTCAAGGAGGTTGCCACCTGTAGTATCATTGTTATAATGATGATAACAAGGATGCTACTCAGATGACTGAGGCAACATAACCTGTTGTACTGTAAAATAAGGAAACAATTATTTGTATTTTAATAAATTAATTTGACTGTTTTCTATTCTAATGGTGTCAATGTAAAAGTATTAATTTATTATAAGGAACACTTTTGATTTATAATTCTGTTCTCTTTTAGAAATCTATACATAACTTAGTACTTAGTAGGAACTTAATGTGACATATAAAGAGATTACGAAAGGAATTCGAGCTTAAAAGTCCATTAAACAATACATGTAGAGCAAACACGGGCCTCTTAAACATCAGAGGTGGGATCAGATGCCATGGCGGAGTGAGCATCCCCTGCCGGCCGGTCACACCCGCCGTGTTCTCCTTTTCATGATCGGTAAATAACGGAAAAATTGGTCGACAATTTAGTGTATAAATAAAGGCCCAACAATTAGTATGAAAAATTCAGTCAGCATTTGACTCAAAGATAAACTGTATCTGCTGACAAAGTCATTATATCGACTTGTTCAACTTGTTATCAACTTGTTGGTCAATAACTTACCTCGTTTAAGAAATTGTTCGTACGTAATGCATGCTCAACTTATAGATATAAACCCCGTTATCTTTAATCTCAAGCTTACGGGGATGTATCGTGTCTATATAAGAAAGGAAATAACTACCTAAATGTCGAGTTGAAGGCCACAGCAAGTGTTTTCTTCTTTTCACGTATATACTGTATACAAGTGCTAATCGAAAATCCACTTGATTTGGATCACTTGCTATATTGCTTTGGGTACTCTGATGCATTGTGGGTAAAAAAGAAATTTGGCAGGCAAAATATGGGTAAAGGTAATTTTAAGCAATTAAGAAACCTCTTAAACCTTTATAGAATCATTGTAGATTTATTTGAGTAAATTTTTAAATGGAAACCTACAAGGAATTCGATATCGTAATATCGCGCTCGTTTACTAAGTTAATATGGAATTTTCGCTTATTTTGAATTATTTCAAATGTTCTTAATTTTTTCAAACTATATTCTGTTGTGCAAGTGATTGTATCTAACTTATCTCCCTAATTTACCCACGAAACATCATCTGATTTCTATAAATTACGCTTTTTAAAGAAATTGAGCTATTTTTGTTTTGCTTTAATAAGTTTGCAATATATTTTTGCGATGGCTACACTTTTTTCGGATCCTTTTTGTGATTTGCATGAAATTAAGATTTATTGATTTTTGATAATATGAAATTATTGTGATTTAAACAGTTTGAAAAAAAAACTTTGGCATACATAATCACAAAGGAAGCATTTATTAGTCGAACGAAGTTAAACAGAAATAAATAATTATAGAATTTGATGAAATGTGATATCATTTCTGGTGTTTGTGCGATACTTGACTTGCGTTTTGTCGCGATTGATACGGAAATGCTATGTTTGATTTGCCTAAAGTACTTCTTGATATGCTATGACTTCTATGAAAAAAGTTCCATGAATTTCTTCGAGAAAGTAGGTTTTTCGTGTTTGGATCTTTTAGTGTTATGGACAACAATGTAACCCCCCTTTCCCGTAGAAATTCTTGCTGGATCCAACGCTTATTCCGAAATGAAAAAGTGGAACTAAACATATTAACGAAATAAAAACGTCATTAGAGTTGCTTCCATTAGAAAGAAAAAGATATATAAAAGGTTCAGAATGTTTGCACCCTCCTTCGTACCTCAGTAACTAACCAAGAAGCCACACTACTTTTTCTATAATTTATATAAATACATACGCATCACACTGAGCATAAAACGCTCAAGGTGAGCATATGACCCATGGACCTCCTATGTAAGTATTTTCTATAATAATTTATGCAGTCTGAAATTTAAAAAAATATGAAGCATAGATTTCGTTTTTTAAAAAAATCTTTGAGGAAAATGAAATGTTCTTCCTATAATTGTTCCTAAGGATGAAAACCTTGCACATAACAACACCAGTCATATTCCAAAAGATGACTGGGCCAATGTTGAAATGTAAGATGAGTCTGAGGAAGAAAATTTTGTACAAGACTATTGTGAACGCAATGTACCATCAATAAATTATTTTACTAATTGCACTATAAATACTACATGTTTACTCGAAAAAAGTATAGCTGTCATAACAACAAAGATAACTTTCTGGATATTTTCTACGCAAACATAAGATAGCTCTCGAAAAGTTGGGTAGATACATACATGTATTTGATGTAATTGTCAAGATATAAAGAAGACCTTGTGGTCAAATTTGATAGCTGACTTTTGAGTAAGTTTCCAATGAAACATAACAATAAATATTTTATTTAAATAATGTCAACGGTGCATTCAAGTCAAGTGCCAGGATTAGTTGAAAAATTACCATTAGATGCGTGAAAACGCGTGCTACCGATGTTCAAGGAGGGGTAGATGACACAAAAATACGGTAATCTTTAAATATACCAAGAAGAAGTCTCATATTAGTTGAAGCAGTTTTATTAGTAGTAAGAAAACGTATTTAAAAAACTTTTTTTGTCTAAATGTGCAGACAGAAATTTCGAATGATCTATCAAAATATAGCTAGTGATCCAAATCAAGTAGATTTTCGATTAGCACTTTGTATAAAGTGGTATACGATTCTGAATAAATTCTGCTTCATATGAATACAAAAATAAGTCTGCTAATAACGGGGCAAATGATACCTATAGGAATTACAAAAGAGTGTTGGAAGACCAAGTCTCTAAAAACCACACAGATCATTTCAAAATCATTCATGTCAACTTCAAACTAATTGTGTGTAGCATCAGAATTTTTTAAACAATATTTTGCGAATTATCAATGAAAATTATAAGGAAATTTACGAGTTCCGTTTTTTTTTCAAATTGAAAAAGCAGCTTTTCAATGATGTCAATAAGCCTGGGGAGTGTTTTACAAAAGATCCTACAACTAAAACCAGAACTTTTATCACCTTAACTTTCTTATTTACATTAATTTTTCTTAAAATATAGTATAGAAATTTAAGACATTTTTACTCTAGCAATTTTAAACAGAATGGTGAATTTCTTGTTTTTTTTACTATCAACTAAAATTTTTGGTCTTAGGCGTAAGTTCTTTTGTAAAATGGGCCCTTGAACTTCATCGTGGGGAATAGTTGTATACAGAGTTGAAAAGTCAAAAGATGTTTTTTTTTTTATTTTGGTAAAATTTTATGATTTCAAATTTTCCAATAGCTCCTTGGAATAAATTTATTTCAACTTATCATACAAACAGTTGAAAATGAACATGACTGTTATCTAAAACTAAAGAAAGGGATGGGATTTTATCATAAATGAAAATTCAAAGATTAGGTAAAAAGGAAAAAAAGACAACAAAACATCAACAAATCAAGAAATTAATGCAACAAACAAACAAAAAAGACAAACTTCGTAAACTGATCTCTTCCCAACAATGCTTCAAATTTTGACTTACATGCTGATAAATGTAATGGATATACAGTATATACGTCGTAAATATTTAGAATTTTTACTAATGTATTTTACCATTAATGTCATGTTGTTGATGTTTACTGGAGTAGTTGTGCTCAGTACTACGCTATTATCCGTTTCCGAAAAGAAAAACTACAATTTCTCAAAATCGTCTTTTCTTTTCTAAAAATGTGTCTCGTTTTTTCAAAGAATTATCAAACAATGTTTTTAAGCAAGAAAATCTGTCTGTGTGTGTATGTTTGAACATTGCAACATGTATTTGCTACCGGATATATCAAAACTTAGAGACGTAATTGATTAAGATCATATATTTTGTCAGTTCCTACATGTAGGTATTGTAACACTCCAATAGCTTTAGATATTGGAAACAAGTACAACCTATATTAAAGTCTTATAACGTTTACATCCAGCTCCTTTTCCCTTCATTTTGGTTACTCATCTATAATGAAGTTCCACTATTGAATACCATATCAAAAATTAAAATACCAATAGTATTGTAATTCTGATTATTACTATGCAACGGTACATTATAATTTTGAAAAACTACATTTATTTTTAAACTAAAACCTATTTTTACTGGTATTAAGGACGCTTCCTATAAACAAAATTATATCAAAATTATAAATTATCTATGATGTTCAAAACTCATAAATCTTGTCTTTTTTTATTGATTTATACAATATATAAAATTTTTAATTAAAAAAAAACTTGGTGTTAAAGTTTAAACTTGTTCATTTTACTTGCATATACACAAAATTTCCTTCTATATATATACGAGGGGTTATCAAAAAGTTCGTGGACTGGGGCTATAAAATTAGTACTATGTTGTCTGAGTTCACAAAATT